TGCATTTCCATCAACATCTCAAGTTCAAGTAATTTTGAATTAATTTTTAATGTGTCTCCAATACTCTCAGCACACGGGAGTTCTTTCTAAGCTTTCTTTGATTTAATGTGTCTCCAATACTCTCAGCACACGGGAGTTCTTTCTAAGCTTTCTTTGATTTAATGTGTCTCCAATACTCTCAGCACACGGGAGTTCTTTCTAAGCTTTCTTTGATTTAATGTGTCTCCAATACTCTCAGCACACGGGAGTTCTTTCTAAGCTTTCTTTGATTTAATGTGTCTCCAATACTCTCAGCACACGGGAGTTCTTTCTAAGCTTTCTTTGATTTAATGTGTCTCCAATACTCTCAGCACACGGGAGTTCTTTCTAAGCTTTCTTTGATTTAATGTGTCTCCAATACTCTCAGCACACGGGAGTTCTTTCTAAGCTTTCTTTGATTTTAGTGAATGTTTTTGTCATTTTGGTGAAAATGCTATTTTATATGTACCCTCTGTAGACCTTTGCAGATTTGTTCATTTCATGAAGATAACTCCAAAAGTCAGTTGATCAGTCAGTTGAAAGGTATTTTATGGGTATGTTTGTTTTATTCAGGTTGTCCTGATGGTTTGGATCCGATACAGACAGGAAACCAACTTGCTGAGAAATGTATCACGATGTACATGGTTGGCTGTGAACCTAGCATATCACCATATAAGGAGTTCTTTATGGCAATAGCTCATATGACAGGTGGTCAGTATGTACCTTTAAGAAATGCTGCGTTATTGTCTCAAGTTATTATTGGTGGAGCTCAGGAAGAAATATCTTTACAGCGACTCATGGAGGAAGTCAATCAAGAAGTCATTCAAGAATGTCAATCTGCTGGTGGTGTCCTGGATGAAGATATGTTGACGAGAAGAATCATGTCAAAACTCAACACAAAAGGTAACTATGATAAATGAGATAAAATACTATTGATATTTTTGACAGGTTGCTTGTTTTGACATGGACGGTAATAGCTGGGGAGGAGAGAAAAAACTATTGTGCTATCCTGTTCCAAGATTGCTTTAAGGAATTTTTTTTAACAAGGGAACAGGGGCGCATGACATGGCCATGCACCCCCTTACCCTTGGGAGCAGATCCTCTGGCAACCATAACATTCTGATTGACCAGTAATCACATGTCGCCACAGGCTACAACTGTGACCCGTCTGATAGTAATTTTGGCCCGAAGGAAGCCATAGAATGCTCAATTTTAACTTAGAATTATCAAAAACTACTCGCACTGAAAAACAACAAGTATTTTGTTTCTGGTGGCAGTCCTTGGCTATGACCTGTAATGTCATATATACATGTATTTATTTTTGTGTTTTATTTATTTACTTATTGACTCTTACACAATCCCGGAAGGAAAGAAAATGGTCACAAAGTACAAGAAAAAAAGAAAGAAAAAACAATATACTAAATAACAAATACAATCACTAAATTACTAAGTAATACAAACGCATGTATATGGCTGCCTCTTCTCATGTGCATAGCAAGTCGGTTTTTTTTTTTGTCAAACCCATTTTATTGAGTAAATAAGTTGAAGCGATGTTGGGTTGAAAAAAAAAAGATATAAAACTACGGTAGATTAAAACTCTTCTTCCCGACTAGCTTCCATGTTTTGAAAAATGCAGTTCAACTTCACACTTACATCAGACATTATATTGGACAAACATTTGTCACCATCAAATCCAAAATAGACTATGACATTGACAATGAATTGTTATTTTTTAGGTTGTAAATCAAAGCGTTTGCAAATGAACAAATCAGAGTTGAACACGGCATCACCAATGGCGATGAAATTCTCAAGGTGTAGTTCATTAGCAGAGGTCAAAAAGGATTTTGCTGTTGACAATTCATCAGCACCATTATGCAGCATGCTGCCAGCAATAAGGTAAGGGTGTATGTAAAAACAACTTGATACATGAACATATCCAAATTGATACAAATGGTTCAACATATACATGACTTCTACGGATATTTTTAGCTCCGCTGTCGACTTTGTCAAGCGGAGCTTATCATAATAATAATAATAATAATAATAATAAACTTCATTGATGTCGTATTCTTTATAGGATCTTGAGTTAAATTACAATAAAGTGTGGATGAAAGAAAAAAACAAGGAAGACAATAAAATAAAATAAGAATGATGATAATAACAGAACAAAAAGAAAAAAAACCTTGCAGATATGCCTTGATATTAATATTGTGATTTATTTGGATGAGAATGAAGGCTTTTTCATGTTATTTTCTCTAATTTTGAAACATTCATATATGTATTTAGCTAGTTTTATAATTGTTTTATTTTCATTGTTGTTCATCATAGCTATCATTTTTTCTTCATCTGTCGTGTTGACTCAGTGTATAGTTGGTTTCTTTCATTTTCATATAATTTGCAGTTAAGCAGAAAATGTTTTCCATCTTCAATTTCGTCTATATCACATACAGGGCATTTCTTTTTGCATGAGTGAGTGTCCATCGTCGTCGTCGCCCGTGTCAATGTTTTATTTTTTCGACTTCTCCTTGAAAACTACAAGCCTGAATTCTTTGATACTTGGTGTACCCGGTATATGTACCTTGGGTAGACCTCGCTCAGATTTGTGAATATTTTTGTAATTTTTGGTAAAAAGTGATATTTTCGACTTCTTGTTAAAAATGCAAGTCCAATTGCTTTGATATTACATATATAGGTACTACATGTGGTCCTCTCTCAGATTTGTTCATTTTGTGATGATATCTTTAATTCTCTAATTTTGGTAAATATTTTTGTCTTTTTTTGTAAAAAGTTATATTTTTGACTTCTTTTTAAAAACCGCAAGTCCAATTGCTCTGATATTACATATATAGGTACTACGTGTAGACCTCTCTCAGATTTGTTCATTTTGTAATGATATCTTTAATTCTCTAATTTTGATGAATAATTTTGTAATTTTTGGTAAAAAGTGATATTTTCGACTTCTTGTTGAAAACCACAAGTCCAATTACTTTGATATTACATATATAGGTACTATATGTGGATCTCTCTCAGATTTGTTCATTTTGTGATATCTTTAATTCTCTAATTTTAGTGAATATTTTTTGGAATTTTTGGTAAAAAGTTGTATTTTCGACTTCTTGTTGAAAACCGCAAATCTGATTGTTTTTATATTACATATATAGGTACTACATGTGGACCTGATTCAGATTTGTTAATTTCGTGGTGAAATCTTCAATTATCTAATTTTGATGATTATTTTTGATGAAAAGTGATATTTTTGAATTCTTGTTGAAAACAGCAAGTCTCATTTCTTTGATACTATACATATTGTTCATTTTCTAATGATATCTTCTGTTCTTTCATTGAAATGTGCATTTCTAACAGCGGAGCTATCTCAGCCGACAGGCTGCTTGTTTTTATTTTGTTGACCATGAGCAATTAACAGCCTTTTAAGTGCTCCAAAACACGAAAATTTATCATGTCATCAACCACTTCTCAGGCATGAGTGGGTCAGTTGCATTCAAATTTGATATTGGCAAAAATTCAAAGTTAGTATTGACAAAATTATGCAATGTGCATATTCATTTTCATGATTTGATTTAAAATGTTATAACAGGCAATTTATATCTAAAACAAATAACATTAATAGAAACATGGAATCAACCATTTTACTGGTTTTGTGTCCTCAAATTAGGAACTATATTTTTTTCTCTAATTAATTTTGTTTGGCAATTAGTGTTATCATCAATGTTTACTCCTGATCTTTCCAAGATGGATGCAATGCAATAATTATTTTTTAATCTGTCTCATTTGCACACTGATTCAAAATATCTAAGGTCCATGAGATATTGCTAAATCTGCTGCTGCCTTTTGTCATATTACATGACCTCATGTGTAAAATTAATATAATTGTAATTTCACAATGTGTTTATTTCTTCTTTTACAGTTTGTGTTCACCTACTCCAATGATGGCTCCAATGATGGCTCCAATGATGGCTCAAAGGATGTCTGCTGTAACAACTCCCGACAGCGAAACTTGTACTGATGTTGAATCGAACGATTTCTGCAATGATGTGCCATCCAATGATGATAGGTATGAGGTAGTAGAAGACCAAGACATTAGCTATGGACAGGCACAAAGAATGGTACAGAAATCACTTGCAGTCAATAAATTGAAAAGTAATACAAAATAAATTACTACAGTTAACTCTTTAAAATCTATACTTTTGGGTGATGATCAACTTCTTAACTTATATGTTAACACCCAACCATATATCATTAAATAAAAGTCACTTATGAATAGTTATAGCCAAGCCCATACACAAACTATAATCAAATCAGGTGAAAAATGATAAATTCAATACAAACAAATTTGTTTGACCACATTTAAAAAAAATCAAATAAAGAAAAATATATAAAAAAAATTGCATGCAAAGTTTGGTTCGAAAAATTATGGCAGATGACATTAAAGATTATGTTTATGAACTAACTGGAAGAGAGTGGAGGGGTCCTTGTATATGGGAGGATTTTCTCTTCAGCAAATCCTGATTTGCACAGTTACTTCAGTTTGGGTTATGTAATAGCATAATTTGTGATTTTCTCTGTAAAGAGAGAGCTGGGGCTGAGTTTTATCGAGCATTTTTAATTTTCAATTTTCAGTGCAACATTCAGCTTTGTACATTGTAATACTTAAATAATACTTTAATAACACTTTAATAATTGTGTTTTGTATATTATGTACATACTGACAATCCTGTTTATATATTGAATATAAAATTCTCATCATTTTTAAGAAAACTTGTCATAATGTATTGTTGATTTTTTAATTTTGTATTTATATGTTACTGACCTAACTCTCCTTCATAAAAGTAATTATGTTTTTAGTGTTAATCACATTATATATATTCCAAATTGTCAGTAATACCATTATTATAAATTATAGGGTTATAAATGTAATAAACTATGCTGTAGTTATGTGATATAATATTTATAATAATTATATAATATCATGTGTACGTACGTGATTAATGTGTTTGATTAATGTTATTGTGGTGAATTAAAAGAAAATAAAAAACTTTTTTTTATCTTCACAATTTGAGTTACTATTTTCTAGGGATGTTTGCTGTGTGCTAATTTTAATACAACAAAGTAATACTTGTTAATAATGAAACTATGAAATGCCCATGACATTTGACAGTGACATTGTAACGCTTCTCATCAAAACAATATACACAATTCTCTTAAACATTTTATTCAATTCTATTAATTTTAGGATATTTTAATTACTTAAACAATTTATTATTTGTGAAGTCTTACTGTTGTTTTTCTTTGTGTTTGATGTTTGTAATTTTTGCCTTTGTTTGATGTAATGTATAGTAGTCAGTGATATTAGCCTTTGCCTAGGTATTTCAAACTGCCGTTAAATAAACGAATTGAATTGAATTAAACAATATACACAATTCTCTTGAACAATATACACAATTCTTTTAAACAATACACACAATTCCCTTAAACAATGTATTCAATACTCTTAAACCATATACACAATTCTCGAACAATATACAAAATTTTCCTAATATACACAATTCTCTTAAACAATGTACACACAGTTCTCTTAAACAATATACAAAATTCTCTTAACCAATAAAGGCAATTTTCTTAAACAATATACACAATTCTCTTAAACAATATACAAAATTCTCTTAACCAATAAATGCAGTTCTCTTAAACAATATACACAATTTTCTTAAACAATATACAAAATTCTTTTAAGCAATATAAACACAATTCTCTTGAACAATATACACAAGTCTAAATAAATTATTTTTACAAAAAGTTGTCAAATCGAATATCATATTAGACCCTGATAATCAAATGACTAGTCATATTTCAAGTTAAGTAATTTTAAAGCTTCAACACATTAAAAAAAAACAATGAATAAAACTCACGATAAATTAATGTTACAAAGAAGTAATCGAATATTATATTTGACCCTGATAATGGAATGGTAAGTCATATTTCATGTTAAGTAATTTTCGAGCTTTAACACATGTTGAATTGGCAAAAAACACAAAAAATACAATTGAAATAATATAACTCAAAGTAATTTATTTTTATAAAAGAGTAACATATGACCATGATGATCGAATGGCTAGCCATATTTCATGTTGAGTACTTTCCAATAAATACAATTAAATAAATATTTATTTATTAAATACAATAATTAATTTTTACAATAAGGTAACATTTTGAATATCATATTTGATAATCGAATGGTTATTCATGTTAAATAATTTCCATACTTTAACACATGTCAACATAACAAAAAACAATTCAATGAATAAAACGCAAGATAATTTATGTTTACAAATATCATATTACAAATAACATATCACAAATTACATATTACATATTACAAATACATGTAACATATTACATATTACAAATAATGTAACATATTACAAATACCATAACATATCATATTACAAATATCATATTACAAATAACATATCGAATATTATATATGACCTGAGAGTTCTAAGTGATACTGTCAAGTTTTAACTGAAACACCATGTTTCAATTGAATGAAACATACCAGCCCACTCAGGAACCCAACACAGATAATGTTGTCTTGTGTCATATTGATACATGTTACCGCATGCTCAAAAGAGTAACTGGTGATAAGAGTTGACTTAAAGTTCTTTGTTTTATCAACTTTCCAGATTTTCAATGTCTTATCATACGATCCTGTTATAATGATATCCTTGTGGACATGAACAGCAGTAATCATGCGAATATAACCTTCATTTGAACATTCTGTCGATGTGATCATATTTTTGTTGGCATAGCTACTGCCAACACTTCCTAATATTTCTCCATTTGTAGGATTCCAAATGTCTAGTCCACAAAGTATACCACTGGAAAGAACAAATCCTTCCTCAAAACACTGTGCAACATTCCCCCATTCATTCTGGTGACCACACATGTCTTTTATAATTTCTCCAGTTTCCAAACATCGCTTTTCTGCAGTATAGTCGTCATAGCAACAGATTACATGATTTCCATCTACCGACATTGCCATTTTCTTCATAGTGAACTTTGACCCCAAAGAAAATGATCTCAGAAGTGCACCAGTGGTTAGTTCGTGGACCTCTATGACATTGTTTTTGGAACCAATGATGTATCTAGTTTTATCCGCTGTGACAGTGAGACACGTGATACCGTTTAGAGATTCCCCAGATTTGTAACGTCGATGTTCTTTTGTTTCTAAGTCCCAGTATATCACAGCGCCATCATGTGAACTCGATAATATATTCACGTGACTGGTCATATATAAAGATGTCACAATATCAGTATGGCCATATAATTGGTGGATACGTTTCCCAGCATTCACATCCCATATGGTAATTGATGTGTCGTCTTGTTTCAGTCCAGTGGAGAGAAGTTTCACTGTCTTGTCTTCAGTGTATGCAACTAGATTAGTTATAGTGGATGATCCTTGTCCAACTTTTTTCACATTACTAATCGTCAGCGCTCCATTTTCATGACTTCTCACTGGAGTTTTTCCACACTCATAAACACGAGCCTTATCAACTGTCTCCCATGTTAGAATCATACCATTGTGAAATCCAGCAAATAAAAACATCGCATCTGGATCATCTGGCATGGAATGCAATGCAGTAATTGCAGTGACCGAGTTCATGGCGTCATGAGGGACCTGCAGTCGTCCAATGGGATTCAGTTTCTTTAATCCTATAATATTTAAGTTTCCATTATTAGTGCCTGTGATTATTATTTCATCGTTTTCAGTTAAATACAGGGATGTGACAATATCATGGTGATCATGTCCACTCGGTATCCTTGATTCAATTCTATTCTCTAAATTCCACTCCCGAATTTTACTCATTTCTTCCCACCCAGCCATTAGGCGGTTATAATTTGTCTGTGAAACAACTGGATACTTGTATCTTTCTGACTGATGGCAGTGATGTTGTGGATAAAATATTGTGCGAGACTGCTGTAGTAAGTTATCTTTTGGGATTTCCCAGGTGCACACACTTGCTTGGAACACTGCAGTAATCCTTAATATCATCTCCTGCTGTATCATGGAAACATGTAAATACTTAACACCATTGTCAATTCCTGATAGATGATGCAGTTTAATTCTCTGTTTGATGTCCCAAACATTTATAATATTATCGTGTGATGCTGAAAGTAATATATCTTTACCATGCCATCTTGAAGATTGCAGTGCTGTTACTGGGTAGTCATGTCCAAGAAGGGGCTCTCCAAAATACTTCTTATTGTCTATATTCCATAAGCGAATAGTTGTGTCATTGCAACCAGATATTATACATGCCAAGGCATCTGATATTGTTATGCAATTTATAATATCAGTGTGGCCATAAAAAGTATGGATGTGTGAATATGTTGACAAATCCCATATCTGCACGGTGAAGTCATGTGATGCTGTAGCAGCCATCTTTCTATCAGCAGTCAATGCTATGGCACTAACAGGTGATATGTGAGCTTGTTGTACTGTGGCTGCTTTGCTGCTTTCTGGGTCACAATCCCAAATCTTCAAACAACAGTCCTCGGCACCTGATGCCATTAATTTCCCATTTGGTGAAATGGCTATATGTCGAATTCGTTCAGCATGCCCCTGGAATTCACGGACTTTTCTGCCGTTGCAAAGTTCCCACATTCTAATCATGCCATCACCACTTCCAGTGAACACATATTTACTATCTTTGGACAAACCACATGATATAATTCCTTTATTGTGACCATGAAGTTCAAACAGAATCGTACCAGTATTCATATCTACTACTTTTGCAGCATTGTTTTTACCGACTGAAATGACAGTATTATCATCATTAGCCAATGATATACATGAGATGAGTTGTAACCCAGGTTCATGCTGCTTTAGTATGTTGCCAGTTGTGAGACAGCATACACGCAGTTGGCCATCTTCTGCACCAGTGACTACTTGATCACCTTGACTAGTGATGCATACTTGGCGAACAGTACACTTGTGTCCTTTAATTGTCAAACTGCATGTTTTCATCTTCAGATTCCATTTCTTCACTGTTTTATCTTCTCCACCAGAAACTGCAAATGTACCATCTTGTGAGATGGAAACACAATAAACAAAACTATCATGTCCAGAGAGTGTATAAACTTTATCAAACTCATTGTGAAGTGGCCATATTTTAAGAGTTTTATCAAATGAGGCAGTTATTACAAACTCGTTGGATGGATGGATAGCTAGACCAAATACAGAACCTCTATGATGATCAACTTCTTTTCCTAGAACTTTCTCTTTTCCAGTAGAAGCATCTATCTGAAGAAGATGAGCTGTATTGTAACCATATCCTCCAGTTCCATATCCCGCTAGTATGTGTTTATTATCATGGGTGAAAGCTACACAAAGAACTGTTGCCCTGTTGTCACGTATGAACCGTTTCAAGAAGCCACCTGGCTGAGAAAGGCATGCTGTTATTGGAATGAGAGAACATTGGTTGGATAAATCTAGGTCATGTTTAATCTGGTCAAGGAAATCAACTATTCCTGGGTCAGGTACATCAACTAATGACCCAAGAAGCTGGTTTG